GATCATGGCACCTGCATGCTGACCATGTTTGGGGAAGTCTCTGGATATAAACCCAGAACCTTCCCATGTGGGTCAGCTTCCCAGTGGCCCCTATGCATTGCTGCTTTTGAGCTAATGACAAATGTCCATCCCCAGATCACACAGTCTTACTAAGGGCTTCCTCTGACTCAAGGGATGCAAGCTTTGCCTATTCTGATGGCCCTTGGAGTGGAACAGGAACGCGAGGCTGACAGCTACTCTTGCGAATCAAAAAGGAGTATAGGAGGAGGGGTAGCAAATAGGGCTTGAGAAACAGAAGTGACCCGGGGAAATATTTTTTCCATTAAGTGAAAATAGCAACACACACACACATACACTCACACACACACATTGAATATGATCTTTAAACTAAAAAAAAAGAGAAGATACATGTGGATAAGTAAAACAGTGATTACTATTTTTAGATAAGAAAGTCAGACAATTTCTTTAATTTTTCTGTTGGGAAATGGGGATATTTATTTATTTATTTATTTAAATTTACATTTTATCACATGTCTCTACAGTAAACATTTCTTTTTCCAACATAAATACCATGTGTATCAGTCAGGACAAGGGTATTACTGTATACATTATCATCAGCAAATAGCTTCTCAATTTTTGTCAATGTAACTAACATACTTTTACCTGTTTTTTTCTTCCCCTTTCCCCTCCCTCCCTTCCATATTAAACTTTTTTTTTTTCACATTTTATTGATTCATGAAAGATCTTAAAGTATGGACAAAGCTAGATTCTGGTGACAAATGCACTGTAATTTTTTTCCAAAACATTTTTTTTTCCTCTCTCCATACCCCTTTTACTAAAGAGAGGTATAAACTAACTTATTTGAAAAAATAATTTAGATTAACCTCAATTTGGACTGCTATTTGCAAAAAGTCCCATAAGAATTCAATTTCTGATGCAAGGCAACGAATACTATGGTATTATTGAACTTATTCAAATAACCATTCTGCCACAAAATAAGATTGCTCACAAATATTTTCTAATTGCAAAGGGGTCAGGAAGGGAGAAAAGTTTATTTTTCAGTTTAAAAAATTCCTTTTTTTTTTTTTAACAAATTGCTGAACGCAACAATTCAAAAGAAAACAAAAATCCTTAAGTCCAGAAGGCAAAGCATAGAAGAAAATCAGTAATGTTTTAGAAAAAAGTCACAGAATTCTATTTCACCACTTCAGTCTCTCTTTCATTGAATTTGCAGTGTTACTGTGGTTTGATCTTTCCGTTAACATTCAACATTATTATTGCTATTTCAGAACTTGTCTTTACCATTCAGTTGGCCTTTCTCTTGATCATTTTTTGTTCTCTTATTTGTCTGTCTGTCTTTAGTTTTCCTGCTATAGTATTCCCTTCAAAACTTCTCGAAGAGCTGGTCTGATGTTGGTAAATTCTTTCAGGTTTTGTTTATCTGAGAATCTTTTTATCTTTTCTTCCCACATGAAGGATAATCTTGCCAGATACAGTATTTTTGGTTGAAATTGTTTTTCACTTAACACTTTTAATATATTTTCCCATTCTTTCCTTACTTGCATTGTTTCCAACAAGACGCCTGATGTTAGCCTGATGGTATATTCTTTGAAAGTAACTTGATGTTTTTCACTAGCCAATTTTAGTATCTTATGTGGTTTTGGTCAATCTTGCTATGATGTGCCTTGGAGAAGATCTTCCTGGGTTGATTCTTTGTGGGGTCCTCTGTATATCTTGGGTCTGGATATTTGAATGCCTCTCTAGGTTTGGAAAGTTTTCTTCCAGGCTTTCATGGAATAGATTATCAATGCCCTGATTAGTTTCTTCACTTTCTGGGATACCAGTTATCTGGATGTTTGAGTGTCTAATGGTATCTAGTATTATTCATACATTATTTTCATTTTTGGGGGTTATTTTCTCAGTCTTTTTTGTGAATTTTTCTAGGTCAGAGGTTCTATCTTCTACATCTGAGATCCGATCTTCTACATGATCTGGTCTGCCTTCAATACTTTCAAGGGAGGTTTTGATTTCCTGTATTACAGACTTCATCTCTAACAGTTCTGTTTGATTCTTTTTTATGGTGTGCATTTCCTTTTTCAGATAGTGCAAGAACTCCCTCACCTCCTGGAACTTGTTGTCACTTTTCTCCTGCATTTTCTGGAGTTTATTCTCTCTTTTCTCTTGTATCTCTGTTAGCTTTGTCACTATGAATATCCTAAATTCTTTATGTGACATTTCCATAAGTCTCATTGTACTGTCTGTGGATGATGAAGGACTCTTCTTTCCCCTGGGGGGGAGATATTTTCTTGATTTCCCATATATCTTGTGCCTCTGCAATGGTGGTTTCTGGTCATCTGATGGATTTTACGTTACTTCCTACGTTCTGACTTTTTGCTGGGTGTTGGGCCGGAAGGAGTGGGAAATGGGGAATTTTTAAAAGAGATTTCTATATTACTTATAAAGGATATGCGGTCGTTTCTTAAGGAAAAACACTGTCTTTTTAAATGTAAAGAGCATGTTTATAAACCAGAATAGATCAAATTCTGATCAAGATGGTGAAAGCCTGGGTGCAAGAAGGAAGAAGAGCAAGTCTGGTGGAATAAGAGTTTAGCCTGGCAAAGAGAACTCTTAGGCCAAAGAATCTCCAAACTCCTGAAGGGGCAGCTAGCACGGGGGGATGAATTGTTATTTTACATGGTTTCAGAGAGAAGAACCAGAGTTAGCAAGTAGAAATTATAACGAAGAAAAATGTTCTTATTAGAAAGAAAATAATCTAACAGATGCATTCAAAAATGGAATGGACTGCCTGTATGGTAGTGAAATTCCATTTTGGAAGTTTAAACTGAGGCTAAGTGACTTCCTGTGTGATTTCCTAAAGAAACAATTCTTGAATGAGAAATTTGACTAAGTTAAAAAACACAAAACAAGAAAATTGCACAGACTATATTTTTTCACTGTTTTGAGATTTCTTTTTTCTCAAAATGATTCAAGTAAATACAATACAGAAAACGTTGGCACCAATATCTTGACAAATTACTTGTATATAACATGTAAAATAGAGATAAGAATATTGGACAGTTGGAAAAGTCAGGACACATTTTTGTATAGAAAAACAGAAAAATACATCATGGCTTTTTCAACAACCCAGTAGTACTTCTCTCATAAGGTTGCCATGGGGAGTAAAAGAATTACTACATTCAAAGCATTTGCTACAGTGCTGACATAATAATCATCAAGATGTTACATGCAGTTGAATCATAATGCATAATTAATGTCTTACAGGAAATCTGATAAACTAAAAATTTAGACAGCAACTGTGGGCTACACATTTTTGGAGTCCCCCCCCCCAGAGGTTTTTGCTATAGGGCACGTGCACTCGCCAGAAAGAGAGACAGAAAACAAGGCAGCCCCCCCCCCCCAGAGGTTTTTGCTATAGGGCACGTGCACTCGCCAGAAAGAGAGACAGAAAACAAGAAATCACCCCCCGCCCCCAGAGGGGATGGCCATGCTGCAATCCCTTCTCTTCCATTCTCCTATCAGGATCTTCTTTTTTTTTGGAGAGGTTTTCACCATAGGGCATGTGCGCTTGCCAGACAGACAGACAGAGACAGAGAGACAGAAAGCGAGAAATCACCCCCCAGGGGGGATGGTCATGCTGCAATCCTTTCTCCTCCATTCTCCTCTCAGAGAGGCACACACGCACACGCGCCCGGAGTGAGTTTTAAGCCACCGGGTCCGGGACGCAAACCGTGTTCAACTACGTGGGAGTCCAGTGACATAGCCATTACGCTAACTGCTGGTTCCCTCCTATCAGGATCTTGAGCATGCAAGCACATATGCACGGCATGAGTTTAAGCCACCTGATACAGGACTCAAATCCCAGTCAACTACATGGGAGTCCAGCAACATAGCTATTACACCAACTGCTGGTCCCAATCTTAGAGTATTTTTGAGCAGATAATATTAGATGATGATAGGGAGCCACTGCAATACTCTTTATAAAAAATAAAAAAAATGTTTGGTTAAGATAGATTAATTATTATTCTTATTTTTGCTATGTGTGCTTGCTGGAGACAGAGGGAAAGTGAGAAATCATCCCCTAGGGGGTATGGTCATGACATAATCCTTTCTCCTCCATTCTCCTCTTAGAATTTTGGGCACACATACACAAGCTCCTGGGCCTGGGTGTTGAACTGCTCAGACAGCCACGTGGGATCCAGTGGCCTTAACCACCAAGCTACCAGCTGGCCCCAAACAGATTAATCTCTTTCTTTTTTTTTTTTTGAGAGGTTTTTGCTATAGGGTGCGTGTGCTCGCCAGACAGAGACATAGAGACAGAAAGCGAGAAATCACCCCCCAGGGGGGATAGTCATGCCGCAATCCCTTCTCCTCCATTCTCCTCTCAGGATCTTGGGCACGCATGCACACATGCCCGGCGTGAGTTTTAAGCCACCGGGTCCGGGACGCGAACCTCGGTCGACTACGTGGGAGTCCAGCGACATAGCCATTACGCTAACTGCTGGTTCTCCCAAACAGATTAATTTCTAAGTGAAAGAACTAACCATTCAAGAGTTCCAGAATGTAGTGGACGAACTTGGCCACAAAATACACAGCAATTTAGCAATTCTTCTCCCTGAGTTCCTAACAGATACGTATACCTTAATGTTTAGTCCACTGTCCCATTTTGCCTTCCTTATGATGTTATTAAACAGAAGAGCCCCAGCACAGTAAATATTTTTCTCACATACAAAAACATAGTAATATATTAAAACCCATTTTTGGGCCAGCAGGTGGTGTGGTGTTTAAAGGTACTGGATTCCTACATGGCAACTACAGTTTGAGTCCCGGATCTGGTGACTTGATTTCTCACTTTCCCTTTCTCTGTCTCTGTGTGATCAAATTAATAATAATAATAATAATAATAATAATAAGTGGAATTAAATAAATAAGTAAATATAAAAAATATTTTTCTTGTTTGCTTTTTCTAGTTTTTGTTTTACCTGTCCTCTGAGGCAGTTGGGCGAGTAGTTGTTTGTAGGGGAGTGTGCAATTCATTAGAGTAAAAAGTATCTGACAATATGTCAGCTCCTTCGAGCTCCTTGCAGCAATAGGGCCTGCGGTGAATTACCTCCATGCTCCTCAGCTAGAAAGGCAGAACCTGGAAAAGAAAAGGGCACTTTTACTTCTGGAATCAGCTGACTTGGTCGGTGTCACACTGACCTTTCCCCCAGGGCAGGCAGGCAGGAAGCATGTGTTGTACTGCTAAATTGTTCAGCCTGACGCTGCATGTCTCCCTGAAGACTCTGATGTCACATCAGTAGTAAAATAGCCACTTAATTTCGTTATATGGAAATGACTTTCAACGGAAACAGATCCGCAAAGTGGAAGATGTTTCTTAGTCTACCTGACCAGCCTATAGGCGCACACAAACCTACTTCGTAAGTTCGACTGAAATTCAATTCTTGACTCAGATTTACTTGTAACTACTTAAGAAAACTTAGCTGATTTTTACCCCAGTGATCTTTCTAAAAATCGAGGTTCATCATCCAATAAAATCAAGAGTTGTCTTTCTAATTGCTTCGGGGATTCTGGGCAAGAATCATTTTGCAGATAGATGGAGGCTCAGCTGTGCAGTACGAGTAGGATCCCAAAGGGATCACGTTCTCGACTGCATCGGTGAGAAACTCACCCCTCCCTCGGACTTCAAGGAAAGCCAAGGAGGCGCGACCGCTAGGACTGAGCCTCCGGAGCCATCCGTGCGCTGCCGCGGGGCTTCCAACACACCTGGGACAGCAGCCTGAGGGCGCCACGGGACTGCGCCTCTGCTTCCCCTTGCCAGAGCTGGCTGACCTCCGCGGGGCGTGGAATTTAGCCGTCGTCCGCACCTGCGACCCCGGGGAGCATGCGGGCAGGTGCGGGTGAAGAAGGGAGAAGGACTGCGGATAGGCCGGCGGGGTGGGGTTGAGGGTGCCTGTGACGGTGACCGTGACCGTGGCACTAGGTAATACATCCTGGGGGGTGGGGGGGGGTTTCAGGGCGCGGGCGGGGAGCCGCGGGCAACTCTTAGAGGTCTCAAAGGAAGCCAGCCAGGAGCTCCTTCTCCGACGAGAGTTAGAAGCGGGACCGACGTGAGGAAAGAGAGCGAGACCCCGGGTGGGTAGGTGAATGGGCTCTTTGAGCCACCCCGGCCTTTGGGCCCGCCCCTGGCTCCGCCTCCAGCTTCTGGCCTGGCTCATAGGCGCCCTCTGGCGGTGATGACGGCGGAATAATTTTCTCTTGTGAAAGCTAAAGATGTTCCCTGCGACCAGGATGTTTTCTGGTAAAACAAGCGGGGCAGAGCATGGATCTGGGTCCAGGGGGAGTCGGGAGCATCTGACCTGTCCTCCCTGTTTTACTGCCGGGAAATGACAGCAGAGCGGCCAGATAGAGGGTGGAGTCCCCCAGGATTCTGGAGCACAGCCCCGGGGCTGGAGCTCAAGCAGATCCTCTGCTCTTCTTCCCCAGTGCAGACTTTGGAAGGGACAGGTCTGCCCGCAGAAGCAGTCCTATGCCTGCTTCGTCCGCAAAGGCCTAGTCCCATCTGGAGCGTCTCTGTTTCCCCAAAAAGAAACGAATGTGAACTACGTTCTGTATCTGCAGAGTCGTGAGTTTCTCTCATGGCTGAGAACAGAGTCCTAAGGAGAACCGAGAGGGAACCGGCCACTGGAAGGGGTAGTTCTGGGGGTAGTGGCTAGACCTCAACCTGCTGAAATGCCAAAGGTAGGGTGAGAGTGACCACCAGAGTGACCATCCTGGAAGGGAGGTTGATGGTGCCTTTGCCATTCTCTGCCCGTTTTACAACTTTTAAATCAACCAACCAGCAGATACTCACTTTGTGCTATGATTTCTAGGTGAGCTAGCTGGTGTAGACAAAGAAAGGTGTATCAGAGTAAGGCAGAGTAGTAATTTAGTAGCCTGGGTCTATTTCCTAGTCCCAGCACCTCTCCTCACCTGCCAACAGTTACCACCCACGTGGGGCTGTCAGGTGGTGTGGTTAAAGGTGCTGGACTCCCACAAGGTCGACCATGGTTCAAGTCCCTGACCTGGTGGCTTGTTTTCTCACTTTCTCTCTCTCTCTGTTAAAATGAAAATGAATAAATAAAGTTAAATAAAATAATTCTTTTAAAAAGTTACCACCCACTAAGCCTGCAAGAGTAGATCCTGCT